ACGTTGAATCAAGCTTATGCTCCGATGAAAAACACACCGGCGCGCAATAGCAGTGCGTGATAATCGCCATGGTTTTACCAATAAACGCGAATCAGACTTTGTTTGCGTTCTTGTGCCCGTTGGTGAAAAATTTTTTTCAAGACAGCGACGAAAGAAATGCGTTGACCGGTGGCAACTTGGTCCAGATGCTAGTGCATTCTTTGGGATAGGATAGTATCCTTTACAATCCATCAAGGCATCGACATCATTATCCTATCTATGAGTAAAACGATCATTACCATTCATTGTAAGGTTGCTCACGAGTTTGTCCAGGCTGGAATTATATCGATGAATTGAATTTGCCCGAACGTAAACGTCATATACTTCTCCATAGTGTCGGGAATAGTGATTATTGCTGCATTTGATGCAACTGCGACCCCTTGCATAATAAGGTAACCCTCATACCCAAGTAAGTGATGAAGTACAACATATATTTTTACTTTGTATAGTAAATTCACAACAGTAGATTACATACGCTGTGTGCGATTATTATGTACGCACCAGTGATAGGACTTATCGCGTGCATTAGTATCAGTCCCAAAGGGTCCATCGCAAATTCAACAATGTCTTACTGTGATGTGTCGAATTTTGAAAACTATTAGAAGCTTTGTTTAAAGGAATTGTATCAAAGTCAACTTATTAACGTAGAAAGGGCTAGAGATAGTTAGATGATTATTTTCATTTCATCTCTGAACGTCAAAAGGGAATTCGTTCTAGCCGACGTAACATGACCGAGTCAGATGCTATGGTACAAGAGAATGACATAAGACTTTCCCCAAAATCGGCAGGGTAAAGGCGGCATCTGGCTATAGATGATAGCTCAAAGTAAATGATTAATTACGGCATGATTAGTTGTTTAGTTTTCTTGTCAAAGCAAACATTTTACTAACAGGTTTAGGAAACTGTCTATTCCGATTGGTTAATATGGATTTATGGGCGTAACTCTGTAAGAAATTAAAGGTTTTACTTTAGGGAAATTCTTTAGTCGTCTTCGATCTTTCGCAAGGAAAGTTAGTATGACTCCGAAATTCGTAGAAAGTACGTTTTCGTTATTGAGTAAGGGGCCGGATAGTTCTCTCAGTTAGGAGACGGACTATACGTGAAGTTCGTGGAAACATAAAGAAACGGCAAAAGGTACGCAATCTTAGTTTCCCGATTTTAATATGTTTTTTCATTTGTTGATCTATTTTGCAAATGTATTCTTGATATGATGTATGTATGTATTATTTCATTTTTCAAGATTTTAGTGAAATGCTAGTCATGACATTTTATTCTTTGATTTTCTAATTATCAATTCATTTGGAGAATTGGCAAGATTGAATGTAATTAAAATTTCATTAGATTACTTGAAAAGATTGCATGTAATTGAATCTTGAATATATAGGAGTGATTAGGAATTTAAATGAATTAAGTTTAAGGAATGATGGGTAATATTTCATAGTTTTATGGATTAACTCTGTCTAAAATGAGTATGACCTAACATTACATGTATATTCATATACTAGTTTGTAATATTTAATTGATCACTTAAGTGTATATCTATATGCTGGTTTGTAATATCTAATTGGTCGAGTAAACTATTTTAGAATAGTTAGATCTGAGATTCTAAGCATATGTAACTTAAGACTGCTAGATTGGTAGAGTCAGCAGTCGAGTTGGGGTTACATACGGGTTCATACGGCTGAGTTGAATTTAATTGACCATCCCTAGCGTGACCCGAATTAAGGTCAGGACAAGCATCGACCGTTTATGTAAACATAACAGTTAGCTAACAGAAGTTACTGCGGCAGAATTTATGCCTTTTGTTTTCTGAGCCGAATTAATGTAAAATATAGATATACTTGGGAATGTGACCTATTGTGTATTGCGAGACATTTTTATTTATGGAAGGAAACAGCTTTCCTGGATTCACATGAGAAATCCCTGAACAATCACAGGACGAGAACAAAATCTACGCAGAAATCTAAGTCCAGAGGTGATTGTTAAGTCAGAGTTTGACGGACAAGAGTCCAAGACGAAAAAGCTAGACAAAGATCGACAGAGCAGGGACGAACGGAAGTCTTGATGTCTGCATAAATTAGGTGATGAAGTCTCTCATCGTTACACTCAAAGGTCACATCTCATTGGCAATGAGGATAGCAATTTAACGTTGAAAGCAAGTTTACATTTAAAGAAATTTGTATTGTCTTTTTTATTTGAGTACATGTTAGTACCATTTTTCCTTCTTTTGTAACTAAGTCATTGATTTCTTTTCATTTTAAATTCTGTTGATAAACTGATTAAATTTTATATTTGTTCATTGAAAGGGGGCTCGTATTGTTATTTCTTCAATATACTCGTTCAGTGATCTGCATTCTTCTTTCTATTTATGCACACTGGGTAAAGGACACCGCGGAGGTCATTCCCTAGCAACGAACCGTAGTGAAAGAGGGTGTGTTTTGCACGCCGCAAATCTGCCACACTTACCTGGATAACCACACGCGTAATCGTTGGTCATAATCATGCTCGCGTACGAGGAGGGCCGTTGTCGAATCGATTTCGCAGTAACCTCGCGCAAATTAAGAAACACATCAACCGAGTCATAAACACAGTACAAATTTGGTGACTCGGCTGCTCCGTCGCATCTGATTACAGTGTTGCAAATCCCGCAGGGGACTTGTTTTCGTTGTTTTCGACTGAATGTTGCTATTTCAGAGTTCGAACTCTTAAACGCCCACCATGACAATGATATTTTACATAATACTAGTATATAAATACTTTATGCTCTTTCTGTTTTCTTTGTACTTGTGCTGGTCTCTCAATACATACCATTTTAAAGTAAAAAAAAGATAGCTGTCGGATACCCCATACATATATGTGCATGTGAACAATACACACTACTTGATAGGTATTCCTCCTTTTGCTAAAAATGTATTAAAACAAAACAAACACGTGTAAAAGTCAATACTCTAATAACGAAGTTAATGTATCCAACTGCTGAGAATAATCGCTAAAGTTTTTTGTTTTTTTTTTTTTAAAAATTATTATACTATTATACAGTTCCTTTTAGTACATGGCTCATCAGTTAGTTTTGCTTGATTCACACAAGCATTGAATATCTCTTTGTTTCTGGCTATTATTCCTTCGCTTCTGTTTGGAAAAATATGTTGCTTCATCTGCCTGTAAAATTTTGTATGTATTTTTGTTTTAGTATGTTGGTTAAACTACGATTCTTTATGGTCCTACCACAAATACCCTGAAATCTGTAATCATCCAAGTCTGCAATTTTATGATAATGCGATTATGATTTACCAAATTCCAGTATCTGTCTCTGCATCGTTGGTATCTAGTTTTCCTCAGTTCCAAGTAGATTAATGGGTTTCTTTTAAATAGTAGCACAACTGTAACAAACACGAAACCAAACAAAACACGTTTTTTTTTTCTCCAAATCTTTGTTTGGTTTTATCGAATATTTGTGTACTGATCATATAATATTACGAGATCGTAACGTTCTACTTTAAATTTAGCGGCATACAAATGTGTAGATGTATTGCAATGAAATAGGCAATTTATTCCTTCATCGTACTATATTTTTGACTACCTCACGTTCAAAGCCGTTGCTATTTAAATGCTATCATCATTAATGTAATACGCAAATCTGAATCTTTTCGCAAATATTTACAGGATGACTTTTTATCAACGCTATACATCAATTGCTTACTAACTGGTAAAGAAAATACACACTTGATACCGAAGTTCGCGCGCGTGTGTGTGCGTGTATGTATGTATATATATATATATATATATATATATATATATATATATATATATATATATATATATATATATATATATATATATATATGCGAGGTCTAGCATTGTAGCAATTTAAATTTCACAAGTGTGTTAGCTCAGACGATGCACTGAGGTTGTTGACAAACTGCAAGAGAAAGAATTGCAATCTTTCAGTGCATCAACGCATGGGCGTTGTCAATGCATAAAGCGATAATCGTAGTAATGCAAAGTATGTAAGTTTGCTAGCGCTCTCAAAGTGTCCAATATTCATGAGTGTTACAGCGACAGACTGGTTACCTTAACAAAATGTTTGGAACGAACTTAGTCGTTAAAAGGAGAATTGACTGTATATAATTGATATGTGTAAACTTAAATAAAGCATATACATTTGGTATTTTAATCTTCTAGATTGGGACAAGAAATATAAGCAGCTGTTTCAGTTTCTAAATTTTATTCTCGAGAAATTAGACGAATCCGGAATAATTAACATATTTGTTTGAAGTAAAAAAAAAAGGTAAAGCAAAGTTAAGTAAAACTTATTCATAATTTGACAGTATAATTTAAAGACAAGAAAAACAAAAAAAATGTATTGGAAAATTCAATGTCACCTGACCATGAATTATCATTTTACGCAAGGGCCGCTGTACAAGAGTGCCTGCATGTATAGTTAATATTAGTTGAATTAATATGAAACTTTCACTGCCGTCCGCGAGAGTGAGAGATTTCTTGTTATACGTTTTTGCAAGCTGCATATTGGAGATTTTGCAGGATCGTCAATTAGAGATCAAAGTGTCGAACATGAAAGTTCTAAAAGATGGTTGTAGGCCTAACTGTCATAGAATGTATTTGTTATCACGTGTCAATCAAAAATAAATAATCAACACCGTTGAAAAAAATAATAATATATATTTAGTTTTAATTGCACGATTTAATCTATTGTTTTAAAATAATTTCTCCATATGTGGTATGTGTGATTTAGAATTATAACAATTTGTCAGTCTATAATGTCTGCAGTGTGACAGTTTATAGTGATGTCTAGCACTGGGGCATTATGCCTCATACATGTGGAATGATGTCCCACCCAGTCACATTATGCTGACACCAGGCCGACCAGTCCTAACACTAACCTTTTAATGCTGAATGCCATGTGAGACAGCTGTTAGTACCATTTTTAAAATTCTTTGGCATGACTCAGCCGGGATTCAAACCCGTGACTTCCGCATCCGAGGCGGACGCTCTAACCACTAGGACACCGGAGCGGTTCCATACTCATGGGGAAATTTAGAATTATGAATTATTTTAATAAACTTTTAAAACATGAAAACCTTAAAAGACCATACGGTAGAAAAGTTTTTAAAGCATCACATAAAGTAATAGTAAAATAACAATTGGGCCCCACCTTGCAGCACATTATGCTAAGTCACGGAGCAAAAACGTACTTGATAAGACCCTGGCGTCGTTGGAGAAATGTGTCATTGTGACGGTCACTGTAGCATAAAATCACTGGACAATTCACCAATCAAGATACGCGGTATGTCTGTGGGATACCGATATGGACAACCTGAAGAGTAAGCGGGAAGACAGCGCAAGGAACAAGTCCTCTGGTGACTAAGGTATTACATCTTATTGTGAAGAGTCTGGTGACTTTATCCTGAAGAAAGGGTTGAGGACTAAAAGAACCACTAAAAACTTTCGACACCATATTTGCAATGGTCAACATTTTTGTTAAAACTCACCTAGGTATCACGGGTATTACTTGATACGATTATATCCATTCACCTTACTTTGAATGATGGGGATATGCCATCCCTCCATCTACCACAGTTACCCTGCCCAAATGTTTCTTTAGCTCTTCGGAAGAAACATTACCAGGGGAATGCCATTCCAGTAGAAATCTTAGGGCTACAGCGCGCTCAGGTAACGGTTATCCAAAAGCAGCACACGCTTGAGGAGGCAGTCGAGGTACTGCACAAATCAAAACGACCTCACAGCCGCACCCAGCGTTACTACGATCTCTTATCAGACATAATCATTTGTGATGACGATCAACACGTTTCTAGCCACCTCGGCTAGGAATCAAGCAGCGTGCGCCATCTTCGCCTTCTAATATGAGTCTATATGTTATCAACGGAGCAGTAAAGTGATTTACACCCACGCTTTTTCAGCCTCCTATACTTAAAGAAATTAAATAGTCCTCTTATTCAATACTTTATTTGTTACATCTTATGTTGGAAATATGTGTAAAATTCGTTCATTTTATTTATCTGATATTTTCATTTAGATCGTAGGTCATATTAGGTTTTTTTTTCGTGTGCCATATAAGGACATTGCTGCCTTATTTGGAAAAGTAAACAGATAGTTGTATATATGGAATGCATTGAATTGCGTATCGTAGAATGTCCATATATGACATACTGAGCCTTACTGGGAAAACGAGTTACTTTTGATAATCTCGTATTATCTGTCATGGTGGGCACATTATGATTAGCGTAAACATACTAATATAATTTAACTGAAATAAACTTAAAAACTTTATTATTAACCAAACTTCCTGAAAAACAAAACTCTACAAATATAGCAGTTTTTAACTACAGTCATCTTTTGGTCTTTGATAATAGTTGTCTGTTCCATTGTATGGTATAGAATCATACTGTATTCTCGAACAAGTTGAGGCTACGACATAGCAACTAAGCCAACTTGAACCAGTCATGCTGGTCGAGAATGAATCGGAACTCTTCCTTGTATATGGAGCATATATATATATATATATATATATATATATATATATATATATATATATATATATATATATATATATATATATATATATATATATATATATATATATATGGAGCAGATAAATCCAGACCATACTCAAAAGATTACATTGATTCGACAAAAATACCAAACCGTATTCATTCCAGACCAAATGGAAAAGTTGTTGCAATGCGTATTCATTAACAATATTACTCTGAATGTCAATTTTAAGTAGCCCAAACGCCATTTTCTCTCGAAACTTACGCCTAGCGCGCGACCAAATTCAAATTTACCTGGGCGGATTTATGCGCTCATTAATAATGTTGTGTAATGATCCATCAACGCTTATGTATTTAGTTTGGAACATGGCATACATTAAGTTACTTGTTTCTTGTAGTGTATTTTTGTTTATATATTTAAGCTTTGAGCAGAATAGGAAATGATCATTTAATAAAAAGGTTACTGCATTTGTATGGGAAAATATGAACTCGTTTTTCGGATGGATATACTGAACTCACAAGGTCGAGCAGTATATCCATCCGAAAAACTCGTTTATATTTTCCCATACAAATGCAGTAACCTATAAATATTGTGTCGTCTGCGTCCAATATTTGTAAAGGCTGGTTCTGATATTTCTATTTAAAAAATAGCAAACAGTGAAAAAGGATGTATTTCCAGAATTTTCCATTGCATTCAAAGAAATGAAAGTCTAAAATTTACGGCATGTTTTAGAAAATCAAAATCGGTGAACGACACCACATATTTTGCTTGAAAACAGACTTGCCCATGCAAAAATATGGTGGTCGTATTACTAAATTCCCATTTGATTAGAAACGCCAAACACTAGACAATGTTTGACCCCTGATGACAATCTGGTTAGAAATCGTATACAATGATGAATGAAATTATTCAATTTTGTGCCTTATTAAATATCTCTGATGGTTTTTCTTTATAAATTCTTGGGGCGAAACCAAACAAAACTGAAGGTGTCCGAATATTATAGCTTGTTCGTTGGCGTCATTTTACTAGAGCAGCGCGGAATCATCATATGTAACCCATAATATCCTAAATCCGCTGCTATTCTGACGTTATGGTCTATATTCCCGCGTAATGTCAGTTACATATTTAGGGGAGATAACATTTCAACCAAATTGTTTCCTCCCTTGATACAATGATGTCAAGGTCATTTTTATTTCGGAAGGAAGTGAAAGGTAAATGTAGTAAATCTTCAATCATACGTTAAGTTTAATACATTATGCGAATTTTTTTTATTATTTTCTAAATATCAACACTATTGTATGGATGCAATCTGTTCATTTTCAGGTTAAATTATACGGAATTCCTCTCAAACAAAATGGAAATGCAAGAAACAGCGTAATTCACTCGTCAGTTATGTAATAGTATTCTTACGTTACCTTGGGATGCGCAGATTATTGGTGTCATAGACGGTTTCTCCACATCTTTCAGCAGCATACGAACCAAAAACCAATAAAAGGAAGCATGAACCTATACCAAACCACACAGTCGAACATCGTTGACTACCAGTTAAGTTGGCCATTATTACATAGAGCCTTAGCGATCACATGACGAGAAGCAAGCTTACTCATGAGTTAGTCATGTGACTTTGGGTCCAAAGATCTCTTCTAAATAAAGGATAACGGAAAATAAAGCTCAGATAGAAATCGTTTGAGATTTCCAGAATTTCCCATAATACACTGTACTTTGCTTTGAAGTGGATGAACTAGAAAGCATACTGCATTACAAAATATCACGGGACACTGGGAATATCCCATTTTTTTCAGTATTTAGTTTTAAGATTCAGATTCAGTTTTAAGTAATTACGTTTATATTACTACCACAGTTACAGTCTCAAGTCTGATCACAAGTGGAGTTTTTCAATAACTGAGTTCTCCTGTTTCCTGTCTCCAGAAATTAATGCAGCACAGTTGACAGATTCATGGTAAGTTGGATGTGAGAGGCTCCTTCATTTATACTGTTAATCAAGAAATTGATTTAAACAAAACTTTAGGATATGTTACACAGAGACATTACAGCAATCAGTTGTTGTAGGGTTGAATGCCATTTTTCAGCACAAGATAGGCTATGCATGGTGGCCAGTGTAAATGGTAGAAGAACCTGGGAAAACCCGGAAAGAACCACTGACCCATGAGAAGCTACTGGCAAGCTTTCCCGCATACGCACATTGGCCGAACCTGAGACTCAAATCCATGCAGACAGAGGTAATATGGCAGTGGTCGGTAACGGTGAGTGCTTAATGACACTAAGCGCCCCTATAGTCCTACATTCCTACATGTGAGACCTCAGCACTGATATTTATATTTTGGGCATTAAAGACGTAGCACTAAAACACAAATTATATATGATATGTCTTACAGAAGGGCTAGGGTCTCCTACAACAATCAGAACATAATTTTTAGTAAATTTCATGTATTTCCAACAAATGCAAACCACCAATTATTCAATTTAAGGGTTCGTAAAATTGCTTATTGACTTCTTCAAAACTTATAAATCTGTGCAAAAAAAACTGAAAATTAATTGATTGGAGTTTCCTGTACCAAGGCCAGTGAAGATTGATCAATCACATCTTGTAATATATACAGAGATCTTGCTAGGAATTTAGAAGTAGGAGTCATAGGAGTCCCATCAACAAAAGTTGCAGTTCCCACTAAGCCAGGCATTATGTACTTTCTTACACTTGGCTATTGTCACTTCTGAACTATCAGTTCTAGCAACTTTAGCACAGTTCTGAATCTCATTGAAATCTTCATCATTTTCCTATTTAACCCCCAAAATACTTGTCTAAATTTGCAAACAGCATTTTATCCAAGTCTCATGATTTCGAGTTCACAGGCAATATTTATACAGCATCAATCAGAAATGAAATCAATAACAGTGGTCATGCTTGGCTTCATCATTGTCACAATTTGCAATTTTGCTTTCCTTATTTGCAACAAGATATGCCATCTGTTGATATTTTTTGAAAATTTTTTGGCTGATAAAAATGGTATTTACAGCCTTGCCTTGGGTTTGGAATGGAGAAGTTCAAAGGCACCATTACAAGAAGCCGCAAATGTGGATATAAAAATGCACTGGAATCTATTGTGACATAAACAAATCCTTATTTCATATTGATAAACCACACTAACAGTATATTATATATCATAATCCACTTATGCTGATATCTGGCCTTGATACTGTATGTACTGTATGCTGTTTAGTCCTTCAAAGGGAGCCTTTAGCAGCGCCTTTAATAACACATGCACCTTCATCAAAGCAAGCCAGCGACCTTTGATCAAAGAAGTCAGCAACAAACTAAAATAAAAGCAATTTTGCTTGAGTTTTCATATTGGTTAGAACATATTTTTTCTGACACAAAACTTTTCCTGTTTGCAACACAAACATGTGTATAAAGGACTCTTGTGTGGGTGATTTTCTGTGTCCCAAATCAAAAATTTATGTCCAAATATGTGTAATTAAGAAT